TTTTTTCTTTTTTTACACTAGCTTCTTCACACTCCAGCCCATGTACTGCCATCTGCTTCTTTTCTATGCTCCATGTTTATAAATTCATTGCTGCTGTCAAAGGAGACTAAGAGGTAATGCAGTTCTTAACATATGTTTAGATATTCTGTCTTGGGAAACAGGATGGTTTTTGTTATCCTTTATTAGAATATTATTCCACTGTATTACTCTTTATTTTAGCTTTACCATGTAGTTAAAGGCTATAGGATTATTAAGTCAAGTAAATAAAACACATTGAAAAATAAGCATTAGAAAAGAGATCTTTTGTGTGTACTTTAAAGGATTTGATATATAATTCAAAATTACACTTTTGTAAATTCCTGTTCTTTTATTAAAAGAATAGCCCATAATTTTTAAACTGCACTAGATAATTTTTTGTCTACCTTGTATATATGATTATATTTCTACATAAGTGTTTTAAATTAGAAAGTTTTTTTTTTAGAAATATATTTAATAGTAAATGCATGTTTTATTGTTATTTAAAGTGCTGAAGAAATTCCTGATGAAGTAGATATGGAAGAAGAAAAAGAAAGTGACGATTCAGATGAAGAAAATGATTTTACTGAAAAGGTCCAGGATACAAGTAACACAGATCTGGGAGAAGACATTTTACATCAGTTATCAAAAGCTGAAGAAAGAGAACTGAGAAAATTCAGGAAAGTAGACTACAGCTGGATAACTGCTCTCTAAGCCTTGGAGATTGGGGACGGTTCTTGCAATTTTTTTATATGTTGATACTCCAAAAACATCTATTTTAATGTTATTTCTGTTTTTAAAATAAAATATTAACAGGCTTTATTTTTTAAATAACTGATAATATGAAGCTATATTTGCATCACGCTTTACAGTTGCTGGGTTCATTTGTATATACAATACATCTCATTTTAATTTTTTTGATGTTGATATTGGTTTTTTTTGTTGTTTTTTTTTGTTTGTTTTTAAGTTTGACACCAAAATTTATTTGATGACCAAATATGGCCTGAACTGATGAGAGGTTTTCTGTGGTCCTGATTCATTCCTCTTAGTATATTTATTCCTCTTAGAGAAACTTAGAGAAATGATTTGATTATCTGATATTACAACAGACCCTGCTGAGGGTATTATTTAATGATATAGGCTGCCTAAAATTTGAAAAATTCAAATCATTTAGCCCAAGCCTTTCAGATATGGGCTTATATAACATACTCGTAAATATAATTTTCATGACAGCTTTGGAAGATAAGCTGGCATACTCTATCAGTGTTACGGCTGTGAATACAGGCATACCTAGAAGATATTGTGGGTTCATTTCCTGACCACCACAATCACGCGATTATTGCAGTAAAGCAGGAGTATTTTTTGCTGATGGAGGTTCTTGCCTTCGATTTGTAAATCACAACATCTGTGAAGTGCAGTAAAATGACGTATGCCTGTACTGACTCAAAGAACAACTTCTTTTCACCGGAACAACTTTTTAACCAAAGCCGCATTGCTAATAGAAAAGAATCCATCTCTTCTTTCTGTATTATGTTAAAGTAGTGAAGTTGCTACATTTTAATCACTTAGCATCTGGAGTTTTTCAGTTCCCTGATAATACTTCTATAAAATTTAATATTAAAAAGTTAACATAAGGAGGCGGAGCGGGTAAATCCTGGACTCACCTTCTCCCATGAACACATCAAAATTACAACTAAATTGTAGAACTGAGAACCACCTGAATGACTATCTGAACAGAATTCCTATAACTAAGGACATAAAAAAGAAGCCATATTGATACAGGTGAGGGGCACAGACTTGGTCCAGGCAGGTATCACACCCACCACGTGACAATTTATAAATGGGAGGGATAGCTTGACTACGGAGGTGCTCCCTGAGAAGTGAGGGATCCTAGCCTCGCATGGAGCTCCCAAGCCCAGGACATCTGTGCCAGGAAGAAGAGTCCCCATAACATCTGGTTTTGAAAACCAATGGGAATTACAGTCAAGGGAGACAAAGGAGAGCAGGAGATTGGTAAAGGGCTCAAACACGCTCCAAGCTCAAGCACAGAAGCACCTGGGTCATATTGGGAAGAATTAAATCGACTAAGGAGAGGACCATATAGGGGCAAGGAATGGGACTCAGGAGGGATGCGCTGGTGGGGACCACTTCCTTTGTTGTGCCTTCTCGCACCTAGCTGTCCTGAAGCAGGCGAGTGTAAAATCTGTTCTCTGTTAACCTAACTGCTTGCCCCATGCCCAACTTGCTCACCTGTCCATATCCTCTTCAAGCAGCTCCAGACCCTCCACTCAAGCAGCAGCCCTCCTCAGAGAACACTACAATCTCCCAAAAGCTCCACACGAGTGGTGGCCAGCCTCAACTCATTGTAGCTCCCACCAAGGCTGGTACAAGTGGCATCCAGTCTTAGCTTGCAACGTCAAGAAACCAAGCCTGACATAAGTGGTGGCTGGCCTCAGACCACACCAGAGCCTCACTTAAGCACCTCCCACTCCATGGGATCACAGTGGCTCAACCTCTGTGGTCAAAGCCAGTCAGGTTGAAGGTCACCCCCACCAAATGACATGCCAGCAGCAATCATGGCCCAATTACAACAGGCACCCCTATAATACCTGCCTCAGATGATCGGGGGGACTGTACCACTGGACTCCTCAGGACACCTACATAAGGCTACTCTGGAGACGGATAGAGCAGATCTACCAAAACAGAGTGGCTGGATTTTTTTTTTTTTTTTTTTCAACAGACTCATTTCATAACCAAAAGACTGAAAGTGAAGGGATCGGCATAAAAACAGATCAATGGAACAGAACAGAAAGCCCAGAAATAAACTCATGCTGATATGATCAAAGTATAACAAAGGCAAAAATATACAATGGATAGTCTCCTCAATAAATGGTGTTAGGAAAACTGGACAGATATATGCAAAAAAAAAAAAAAGACCACTTTCTTGCACCATATGCAAAAATAAACTCAAAATGGATTATTAAAGACTTAATTGTAAGATCCGGAACCATAAAATTTTCAGAAGAAAACAGGCAATACATTCTGACAGTGGTATTAGAAATATATTTTCAGATGTGTTTCCTTGAGCAAGAGCAACAAAAAAATAAATGAGACTATTAATCCAAAAAGCTTTTGTATAACGAAGGAAACCATCAAAAAGAAAAGGCAACCTACTGAATGCGAGAAGGTATTTGCAAATGATATTGATAAGGGATTGATATCCAAAATATATAAAGAACTTATACAATGCAACAACAAAAAAAACTCCACTCCAATTAAAACATGGGCTGAAGATCTGAATAGACATTTCTCGAAAAAGAGTCTAACTAGTAATAAAGCGTGTGTACTTGCAAAAAGCAAAAAAAAAAAAGGCAAACATGAAAAATGCTGAACTTCACTAATCATCAGAGAAATGCAGGGTTAGTTTTTGAGGCCAGTCTTTAAAAAAACATGGCAAACACATGAAAAATGCCGAACTTCACTAATCATCAGAGAAATGCAGGGTTAGTTTTTGAGGCCAGTCTTTAAGATTTATTCTGATTACTAGAGGACTCCTAGCTGTCTCTTCTGGTTCTTTCTGGCGAACTAGCTGGTTTGCAGTTTAGCTTATTGCTCTCTTGGAGCCACTAGCCTCCTCTCAATTGTTTACTACAAAACTCCATTGTTTTCAAAAACACCTTTAGGCTTGAACTTCACTCTATTTCTAATAATGTCAGAGTTCTCAATTCTTTAAGAACTGCCTATTGCCCCTGGGCAAAATCTCTCAGCCACTGCTCCAGAATTTCCCTGAGTGACACCTAATTTACAAACTGGACAGAGACAACAGCCTCCGGTCTTTTCTTGTTTCTCATGGCATGGAACTGCTGCCTTATGACCAGGCTTCCCGTATTCTCGGCCTGCTGTACTTCAGGGAAAGGCTCCATTCTACAATGTGGGCTTGGAGGAAGGAAGACTCAAGCACCTCAGCTGCACTTGCCTGGAATATATCCTCTGCAACACAGAGCTGGCGGCCTTGAGAAATGCTGGCAGCCTCTCCCAGGGAGGTGAGGGACAGGTGAAAGGGAGCCTGTCTTCTTGGCCAAACCTGCTCTGTGTGGAGCTTCTATCATACTGGCTTGGGTTTGGAGCGAAGAGAGCAGGTTGTGACTTGAGCACCACAGATTCTCACTGTTCTTATTGAATCTAGATTTTCTTGATTAAATGTTTCTTCATTTGCTGTATACCCTTAGGACAGTTTCTGGAGACTTTAGATGGTTGTTTTTTTCTTTTTTTTTTTTTTTAACAATTATGGTTGTTTTGAAGAAAAACAAGTCCATAGATCTTATAGATCTTATACTGCCATTCCAGAAGTAGAACTCTCTTAAGTCTCACTTAATCTTTATTTTCTTCTTCGTCTTTTTTTCTGTGTACAATTTATTGAAGAAATCAAATTTGTCCTATAGAGTTTCTTACTAATGTTGCCGATTGCTTTGATGGCTTTTAACATGATCCTCTGTCCTCTGTATTTCCTGTGTGTGGGTAGTTGTATCTAGAGTTGTATCTATCCAACAGAAATATAATGCAAGTCCTTGTATAATTTTAAATTTTCTAGTAGTTATAATAAAAAGTAAAAAAAGTATGAAAATAATGCTAATGATTTATTAAACTCCCAAATTAATGATTTTTTAAGCCTCATATAGCTAAAACATTTGAACATGTAATCAATTTTAAAATATGTAATGCTATCATTTACACATTTTATTTCATACTAAGTCTTAAAAATTCATTATGTATTTTACTTTTAAGGTACATCTCAATTTGGACCAACCACATTTCCAATGCTCAAAGCTACATGTGACTAGTGGCTGCCATTTTGGACAGCACAAAATCTAGAAACTGGATTTACTTGGAAATTTTAACTAAAGCAATAAAGATTGTGTCAGAGTTCATTTTTGTTTTGTCAGCCTCCCCACACCCCAAGGAGTAGGACATACTGACCTAATTACAAATAAATTTTATTATTATTTTGCCATATTCAGATACCGACATAGTAACTTCAAATTTAAGAAACACTTTTATAGTTAGATATGAAAGGTTTTGTACTTTCAAATCAAATTACTTAAAGTAAATTTGGAATATATTTTTAAAATAGTGATTACTGTATGATCCGAATAATTGTTTTTAAGTGTGAATTTAATTACTTTTTCTAAAGAGTTGATCACTCTTACACTAAAGTATGACAACCTTGCTGAAAGGAATAATTCTAATTCCTCCTCTAATATTTAAAAAAAAAAATTCCCAAAGACAACTATATAGGTAAAACAGAAATGGCCACTCTATTTCTTAAAATCTGAACTTCTGTCCTACAGATCTATAATGCTGTCTCTCAGTTCCTTTCACATAGAAAGCTGGTCCCATCATAGTAAGATCTCATAAAGATCTCTTACCTCCTCTTCTCTCATTTATCTAATTTATCTGTCAAGGCATGAACCCATTGCTCTCACTAGTGTAGCCCGTACTTTAGAAAGTATACACTCAACCTCACTGGGGGATGGACCACATGTTAACCACGCACTGTATACCATGCATTTCACATACATCACACTTTTTCCACAACTTCCTATGTTAGATATTTACCCCAGTTTGTCAAATGAGATAGATAACTGGCTCCAGAGAGAGCAAGTTAAGTTATATCCAGATCACTGGGATCTCAAGAAGTAGGGCTAAGACACAAATCCTCTTTGTCTCTCCGTCAACTCCCAAATTCTGTGCTCTTTCTAGAATAGCACATTGTCTCCCAGTTAAACAGCTAGTTAGCATTATTACAAAGGTGTCTATAATTGAGGAGGAGTTATGATCAACAAACAATAGACAGTCCAGGTTTAGGGCTAGCTCCACCCAGCTGCAGAAAAATGTTAGCTAGCTCTGTGACTTGGCTAAAGTCCTTT